ATTTTATATTTTGATGTTTTTATTTAACAATATTGAATAATTTGAAATCCTGTGTCAGATAAATTGAATTAATTGTTTCACAAACTTTTTGCACACAAATGGACATATTCCTGTTTACTTCTAACAGTGTCAATAGTGTCTCCAACTAGAATGAAACACATTTAGGCTGTTAGATGTATTATGATCCATACTAATCATCAATCCACAATAATTTATATCAACCCTAGCTCACTATTAAACTGTCAATTAAATTGAATTAATTATAACAGGACTTCTGTACCAATCCAAATTCTTCATTTGTTTAGTATGCTGAAACTTATCGAGGAACATTAGATCCATTTGGATTATCCACGTTGAAATTTTAACAATAAATGTTTTAAACTTGTCCAATTGTTCTAGCATTTACGTACCACATTTTAAATTAACTTGTACCAGAATGATCATAATACATAATACACCGCATAGGCATACATCAACAATCCTACACAGTTCAACAAAACTCCTACTTCTAGATCGATTAAGCACAAAATCACTTGCTGGTTATATTTTGCGGTACTTTGTATTTCCCCCCTACCTTCTTATTTATAATATTATCGTATAGGTTGTAGTTTTAGTTCCCATAGGTGGTTCTTATTTTCAATTGACTTTGGTGTTATGTAATGCTCACAAAAAAATATTTTGCATTCCGAAAAGAAGAATTTCAGCTCATTATTACCAAAAGTTATTGTAAATTTGTAATGTAACTAAAAATAAATTCAAATTAAGAAAAAAGTTTACAAGAGAAGTCTACATATCATCAAGTGAATTTGCATCTCTACATGTGGATACAATACACACACACACTCATGTTCTCGCTGCATCCGTATACTAGTCGTTTAAAGTCAGCAGTGATGTAGTGTAGGTGTCTATAGAGATTAATACAGAAGTTAACAGAATCATTCAAGCTACAATCTAGTAGCTAAGTTGGACTAGATAGTTGACTCTCCTACATTATCTCTTGACCGCAATCAACCTGGCATCCATATGTTCAAGTATCATGAATTTGTTGCCATGCTTCATAAAACACAAAGCCATCTGCTAAAGCTACAGAACAGTAGCTAAACTAAAAATAATAACTTATCCATACGATATCATCCACTTGGCCACAGTCAACCTTGCTGAAGTTCCGTGCACTGTTTTAAAAAGCAGTCTAGCGCTCACCTAGGCTCCCGCCCAGAAGCAGTACTTAGACCTCCCACCTGAGCATGGGACAGTTACAAGGACTGCACCCCGTCAAAAAGGTTCATATTGCTCGCTTATGCATAGTAACATATCAAGGGAATTGATCAAGTGAAAATGGATCGAATAAGAAGTCTATATCTATCTCCATCTTAAGAAAACAACAACGATAGTATTTTGAATCATCAAAATGAATTCTCCCTCCCTTGATGCTAAAAGGGACGTGGTTTCACTTATGCACCAGCCTCGGCGATAGGTGGTTGGTCCGGCACCTAGAAGTGCCTAGCGCTTTCTTAAACATTGGTTCCCTACTCCTATTCCTATGCCTGGAAAAGCCACTTTTTAGGAAACTAAAAGGGTATTGCTTAAAATGTTTCAACTTAATACGAAAAAATGATATTTGTGTAGATAATTTATATAGCTCTAACTCATTTACTTAGCAAATGATGGTTCCTCTCCCAACTTTGAGCTCAACACCTTTTGACAAATTATTGCAGTAAAGAAAAACAATTTCACGTTATAGAACTTCATAAAGATCATACTGAGGCCTATATACTCTTCTATAAGGGGAAAGAAGAAGCCATTTAGTGTCTACATATATTCTGATTTTTCATGCATTATCATCCACTGTACC